ATTCTGCCTTGAATTACCCTTAGGCCATCGTCCACAAGTGTGGCGAGAGTTTTTTCCAACAGGGTGGGGCAATTGCTTCTGCCTGTAGGCTAATTGTTTTTCTCAGTCTCTTATTGGGCCTCAGAAACTCACACCATGGGGCAAGGTGTTTTCCAATAGGGTGGGTCAACTCTCTTTCCCCCAGGCAAAGCCACCTGTATAGCAAATGTCTGTGTGAGGAAGATGGCCTCCATAGTGTGAGCAAATGAATCAGCATAGAAAACCAGGGTGTCTGCTTTCTGAGCTCTAACTCTAAAGCCCCTATCCTGGTTTCTGCTCACACAGCTCCAGTCCACTCCTCCCTCCCTCTGCCGGAGCACAATGTGGGTGGCTCCACAACTAGTTTTATGCATTAGCCCTTTAAGAGGGTGTCTGAATTTCCAGCTGTCTCTCCCTGGCAGATAGCAACCCTGCTGCTTTTCACAGCCAGATGTCATGTGGGTACCCTTCTCAGTTCTGGTGCTCTCTGCTGGGGGGGGGGGGCAGATTGGGGATTAGACCCCAGAGTTCTTAGCAGCTCCCCCCACCCCCAGTTGAGATGTCTCTCCAGGACTCAGCTGCTGTCTGTGGGCACCAGACCAGCCCTTTGGTGCCTCTGCCCCTCCTACCAGTCTCTATGCCGTCTCACTTTCTGTTCTCAGTTATCAGGGTTCTCTCCTGTGAGTCTCCCATTGGTTATTCAGGAAGTTTTTCTGTGCTTTAGTTGTAATTCTAGTTTGGTCCTGGGCAGCATCCACTTACTCCACCACCATTTTTAATCTTGAGTTGAGCATTTTTAATCCACTCAGTCAATGTCTGTCTTCCTGGATATATTTAACCCATTTACATTTAAGGTAATTTTTTAATATCTTGGGGCTTAAATTTCTTATGTTATTTTTTGTTTTGTATTTGTTCTATTCTCTTTTTCCCCCATCCCCCTGTATTTCTTTAGGTCACATAGGCATTCCATTTTGGCTTATGTATAATGTTTATATATTTATTGATTGATTTCAGAGAAGAAAGGAAAGGAAGAGATAGAAACATCAATGATGAGAAATAATCATTGATCGACTGCAGCCTTCACGCCCCCTACTGGGGATCAAGTCCACAACTCCTGACCAGAATCAAACCCGGGACCCTTCAGACCACAGCTGATGCTCTATCCACTGAGCCAAACCAGCTAGGGCCGTGTATAGTATTTTTGAGTGACTCTCTTGCTAATGTTTTCAGTGCTTGGTCTAGATATTACACTATCTACACATGAGCTCACTGGGGGTTTCATTTTACCAGTTTGAGTGGCATATGCTGGTAGGATGCGTACCTCCCTCAAGGACGACTCCCTACTATTTGTTACAGTTGTTTTAATTATTTCCTCAGCATATTTTTGGAAGCACATCAGACAGTATTATTGCATTTGCTTCCACTGCCAAACAAAGTCTAGAAAACTCAAGGGAAACTGAACCGATTGCATTTCCTTTGTCTCCCGTGATCGCCTTTCCTTCTGAACACCCCCGGCTGCTTCTCCTCTCTCTGCTTAGACCTCTGCTAAGCGGTTCTTGTGGGGTGAGTCTTCTGGTAAAAAACAGAACTCTCATCCTCCCTCTGAGACCGTCTTAATTTGCTGTCATTCCTTAAAGATGTTTTCACCGGGTACCTGGATTGGCAGGTTCCCAGGGTTCTGGTGGGCAGCTCTTTCCTCAGCCCGGGGAACGTGCCGGGGGCTTTCCCACGGCCTCTGAGGCTCTGATGAGAAGTCCTGTGTCATTGGAACCCTTCCCCGGTAGGAAGGTGCTGTGTTTCTCTGGATGCTGTAATCGTTTTACTTTGTGTTTAGTTTGCAGTAGGAGGGGATTTGGGTGTCTCCTTTTGGTGTGTCAGCTTCTGTAATCTTTGGGTTTCTATCTCTTGCCCAAATGGAAAGGGTTCACCACCCCTTTTTTGAGTGTCTTCACCCTGTGAGTGCCCCCTTCTCCTCTCCATCTGGGACTCTGGCGGCAGGAACTGGGGCCTTTGGCTGTAGCCCCACGGTTTCCCCGGGCCACGTTCTCCCTTTGTGGGAACGGGGTGGTTTCTGTGTCTCCGTCTTGTAGCTCACAGACCCCCCACTCCCCTTCCCACCGCCCTCCAATCACAGGCACCTGCTCAGCTGTGCATTTTCCTGTTACAACATCTGCATTTGGTTCTTATTTCATTTATGTTTCTTTGCTGGGCTTCCTGTTCACTAGTCTCAGGTGCGCGGGTGCCTGTGCACGGATGGAAGCGTTTCTGTCCACTGCCTCGCCGTCCTTGCTGGGCCCTGCTCGCGTCTCCGTCATCTCAGGTGGGTGTCCACGGGGCCTTTTTCATTCCGTTTGAGATCTCTCTGGTTCTCAGGATGACTGGTTTTCAGTTGAAACCTTGGCACTTCTGTATTCCATCACGAGACCCTGGATCTCAGTGAACCTGGTTTAACTGGCCTTTCCTGACACCGCTCTGCTGGGTCGGGTTCCCTACCTGCTGACACCCGAGAGCAGCTCTTGTCCGTCCTGCTGGGCAGGGGCGCGTGGGTTTCAGCTCCCCACGTGGTCCCCAGTGATGGTGGGCAGTTCCCACCTGGCAGGGTCCCTGGAGGTGGGGGCTTCTTTCCAGCCTGTGGGGAACAGCACCCAAAGGCCCTTGGCCGTGGTGGGCGGGTGCTGTGGTCTGCGCCTTGTGGTGTGGGCGGGAGTGGAGCTGTTTGTGTAACATGTGGTCAGTTGCTCCTTCCTGCCCTCTGGCCGGGGGAGGGAGGCGCCAGGGTTGGGCCTTGCGCCTGCTGTGTTCCTAAGGATTGGGCGCTGAGCCAGACCACCCCGCACATTTCCTTCCTGGGTCCAAGGTCCTGAGTCCTCGGGCTTCTCTCCACCCTCACAGCCTCAGCCGGAAGACTCTCTAGGGTCGTCAGTGGTACTCAGTGGGGGATAGGAAAAGTGTGTCCTGTCCAGTTTCCTGGAAGTGGCTTCTACCCGCCCAGGGTGGCAGCTCCTCCTGTGTGCCCTGGGAGAGGGGCCTGGGACACCTGAACCCTTGGAGAGATGCGGTTCTTGTTTGTAGAGCTAGGCCCAATGCCTGCCTGCTCCCGGAGAACTGCGATGCTTGGGCGGGGTTCAGGCTCCCCTGTGCCTACACAGAGCCCTTTATCCATCGGCAACTGTGGTTCTGGAAGGATCGAGCCCTCTTCACAGGCCCTGGAATCAACACCACTCGACTTCCGTGCTCCTTCGATAGGGAGTGTTATTGAAATTCTCTTATTTAAATTAATTGTTTCCTGGGAAGCTCCCTTTGAGTCTCCATTGTTTTCCTGTTTCCAGGTAGATGTTAGCATTCAAGCCACGGGAGCAGCGTGAGTATAGCTGTGCTCACTGCTACACGAATATCACATGTGTGCTCTCCGAGCCTAGGCTGGGCCGGGACCAATCGCAGCCACGAACACAGGGCTTGCAGCTGCGGTGGACAGACTTGCAATGATTAGGATGTTAATCCTGGACCAGGTACCGGTGGCCTGGCGGTCCCTGCGGGGCCTCTCCTCTCACTGTTACGCCCTGACGGAGCCCTCAGAGCAGGCTGCCCCCCAGGCGGCGAGGCTAGCTTCCCCGGCAGTAAAGCTTCCCCTTGTTGTGCTGTCAGACTTCAGGGCTAGAATCGTGCCACTGTTTGAATGTTGCCATTTGTACATTTTTAAAAATGTCAGAGTTGCATTTCAAACAAGTATTAAAGAGTGCCCGTGAAGGAGCTTGTGTCTCCTTAGCATGCTTTCATCCAGCCCAGAATGTGTGACCTCAGCAAGTCTGGGCCTCCTTGCATCGCACACACACATACACACAAATGCACTACACATGCATGCGTACACATATGCATGCACACACAAATGCACTACACATGCATGCACAGACACCCCATCCACATGCGCACACACGCACACAGCATGGAGCTGTCCGGATCTGAAGGTGGCAATGGGTTTTTGCACAGGGCATAAAAATATCTCTGTAATTACATGATACTTAGTGATGAGGTAATTATGGATAATTGCATGGGGTAGTTGTAAGTGCTAACATGTTACCATAAGATCTAAAATGTACAAATTGCATAATAATTATTCCTGGGCGTTATTTGGTAATTTCGGGCGTAATTATCATGCGATCAGCAGCGCGTGTAATTAATGCACAATCACATGGATTTCGCCTCCATCACCACGTCGCCCTTGTTATAAATAAGGCTTTGTCATAACATTTGAGTACAAATATAATGTAACCGGTCCACTGAGCCCCAGGGTGCTTGCTTTCCCAGCAATAATGCCCCTCATTTCGTCCCGAGTGCGGCTCCAACCCTCTGGGGCTGGAGAACAAGCCGCCAGGGGTGGGGGTGAGCGGGCAGCTGTGCGCACGGTGAGACCGTGCCACGACTGCACCAGCCTGTGTAAAGTGTTAGGGTCGCTGAAGGAGGAACACACGAGGTGAGGGATTATACATTTATTAGGTTATCTAGATACCAAATGGGCTGAACCCCAAAATGGCGCCAGCACCCAGGGATGGGGAGTCAGAGGTTTTGAAGGATTCTAGGCAGCTTTTTCTGGGCCTAGCATTCTCTGGGCAGGTCCGGACCCTGAGAAGGTCCAGAGGGGAAGGATAATGGTCTGAGCAAGTAGAATGTGGGCTCAGTGAAAAGGAATGTCCATTCGTCCGTCCGTTGTGAAGTGCTAAAGGCCAGCTCCCAAGGGAGGGTGTGGATTCAATGATTTGATCAGACCTCACAGCAGGTTTGCCTCACTCACAGAGGGCAGCCCTCCCTTCCCACCCAGTGCTCAGCCCGAGTTTCCTGCAGAGCAGAGCGCCTGCTCCCCGCATCAGTGAGGCGCAGGGGTGGGGAGCCTGGCTTACCTGCTGGGGACAGGGTCCCTCATGACACTGAACAAGGGCTTTGGCTCCACTCCCAAGTTCATATGTGGCTCTGCATCTTCCCCACAGGCTTCGCGTGGCAGGATGACTACACGCAGCACATGCTGGCCCGGGAGCTGGCCCACGTCCCCCGAACCCACTTGCGACGTCCTGATGCTGCCCACCTGGCCAGGTGAGTCGCCTTGATTGATGTCTCTGCGACCTCACAGCCAGCACTTCTCAAGCTTATTTCTCTTTAACGTTGCACCCTCAGTCTTCCTGGTGTAGAGTTTCCTGAAAGTTTGGGTGTCTATGAGGAAGAGGGGTGCTCCCTTTCTCCACTGTATCAGCCCACGGAGGAGGGTGTGCAGGTGACCCTACTGCAAGGTGCCTTTTTCACCAAGGGCAAGCCCAAGGTCCCCCAGCCCTGCCCCCGGTGCCTGAGATCTTTGGAAAAGTCCCGCAGCTCCAGAATGAACCTTGGTTGAGAGCAGAGAAATCAAGGATTCTCATTGTTCAGAAACAAGTAGAGTTCACCATAGTATAAAGAGCTGAATTACCCACAAGTCTTCCTGTTCTCCCAACACAGGGACTATACTGAATGGATATTTAACTCCAACCCCATTTCCACCCTCTGCTCACTGCCAGGTGATTGTGGAGGTCTCCCCTCATCTGGAGTTGAGCCAAGGGAGGGAGCTGAGGTGCAGGGAGGGAGATGAGATGCAGGGAGGGAGCTGAGATGCAGGGAGGGAGCTGAGGTGCAGGGAGGGAGCTGAGGTGCAGGGAGGGAGCTGAGGTGCAGGGAGGGAGCTGAGATGCAGGGAGGGAGCTGAGATGCAGGGAGGGAGCTGAGGTGCAGGGAGGGAGCTGAGATGCAGGGAGGGAGCTGAGAGCAGGGAGGGAGCTGATGTGCAGGGAGGGAGCTGAGATGCAGGGAGGGAGCAGAGGTGCAGGGAGGGAGCTGAGATGCAGGGAGGGAGCTGAGATGCAGGGAGGGAGCTGAGGTGCAGGGAGGGAGCTGAGCCCAGGGAGGGAGCTGAGATGCAGGGAGGGAGCTGAGATGCAGGGAGGGAGCTGAGACGCAGGGAGGGAGCTGAGGTGCAGGGAGGGAGCTGAGGTGCAGGGAGGGAGCTGAGATGCAGGGAGGGAGCTGAGGTGCAGGGAGGGAGCTGAGATGCAGGGAGGGAGCTGAGATGCAGGGAGGGAGCTGAGACGCAGGGAGGGAGCTGAGACGCAGGGAGGGAGCTGAGCCCAGGGAGGGAGCTGAGCCCAGGGAGGGAGCTGAGATGCAGGGAGGGGGCTGAGATGCAGGGAGGGAGCTGAGGTGCAGGGAGGGAGCTGAGCCAAGGGAGGGAGCTGAGATGCAGGGAGGGAGCTGAGGTGCAGGGAGGGAGCTGAGCCCAGGGAGGGAGCTGAGATGCAGGGAGGGAGCTGAGGTGCAGGGAGGGAGCTGAGATGCAGGGAGGGAGCTGAGGTGCAGGGAGGGAGCTGAGCCCAGGGAGGGAGCTGAGATGCAGGGAGGGAGCTGAGGTGCAGGGAGGGGAGCTGAGCCCAGGGAGGGAGCTGAGATGCAGGGAGGGAGCTGAGGTGCAGGGAGGGAGCTGAGATGCAGGGAGGGAGCTGAGATGCAGGGAGGGAGCTGAGGTGCAGGGAGGGAGCTGAGATGCAGGGAGGGAGCTGAGATGCAGGGAGGGAGCTGAGGTGCAGGGAGGGAGCTGAGATGCAGGGAGGGAGCTGAGATGCAGGGAGGGAGCTGAGCCCAGGGAGGGAGCTGAGGTTCAGGGAGGGAGCTGAGACCAGGGAGGGAGCTGAGATGCAGGGAGGGAGCTGAGATGCAGGGAGGGTGCTGAGATGCAGGGAGGGAGCTGAGATGCAGGGAGGGAGCTGAGATGCAGGGAGGGAGCTGAGCCCAGGGAGGGAGCTGAGGTTCAGGGAAGGAGCTGAGACCAGGGAGGGAGCTGAGATGCAGGGAGGGAGCTGAGATGCAGGGAGGGAGCTGAGGTGCAGGGAGGGAGCTGAGATGCAGGGAGGGAGCTGAGATGCAGGGAGGGAGCTGAGGTGCAGGGAGGGAGCTGAGATGCAGGGAGGGAGCTGAGATGCAGGGAGGGAGCTGAGACGCAGGGAGGGAGCTGAGACGCAGGGAGGGAGCTCAGCCCAGGGAGGGAGCTGAGCCCAGGGAGGGAGCTGAGATGCAGGGAGGGGGCTGAGATGCAGGGAGGGAGCTGAGGTGCAGGGAGGGAGCTGAGCCAAGGGAGGGAGCTGAGATGCAGGGAGGGAGCTGAGGTGCAGGGAGGGAGCTGAGCCCAGGGAGGGAGCTGAGATGCAGGGAGGGAGCTGAGGTGCAGGGAGGGAGCTGAGATGCAGGGAGGGAGCTGAGGTGCAGGGAGGGAGCTGAGCCCAGGGAGGGAGCTGAGATGCAGGGAGGGAGCTGAGGTGCAGGGAGGGAGCTGAGATGCAGGGAGGGAGCTGAGATGCAGGGAGGGAGCTGAGATGCAGGGAGGGAGCTGAGGTGCAGGGAGGGAGCTGAGATGCAGGGAGGGAGCTGAGATGCAGGGAGGGAGCTGAGGTGCAGGGAGGGAGCTGAGATGCAGGGAGGGAGCTGAGATGCAGGGAGGGAGCTGAGCCCAGGGAGGGAGCTGAGGTTCAGGGAGGGAGCTGAGACCAGGGAGGGAGCTGAGATGCAGGGAGGGAGCTGAGATGCAGGGAGGGTGCTGAGATGCAGGGAGGGAGCTGAGATGCAGGGAGGGAGCTGAGATGCAGGGAGGGAGCTGAGCCCAGGGAGGGAGCTGAGGTTCAGGGAGGGAGCTGAGACCAGGGAGGGAGCTGAGATGCAGGGAGGGAGCTGAGATGCAGGGAGGGAGCTGAGATGCAGGGAGGGAGCTGAGCCCAGGGAGGGAGCTGAGGTTCAGGGAGGGAGCTGAGACCAGGGAGGGAGCTGAGATGCATGGAGGGAGCTGAGGTGCAGGGAGGGAGCTGAGATGCAGGGAGGGAGCTGAGATGCAGGGAGGGAGCTGAGATGCAGGGAGGGAGCTGAGCCCAGGGAGGGAGCTGAGGTTCAGGGAGGGAGCTGAGACCAGGGAGGGAGCTGAGATGCAGGGAGGGAGCTGAGATGCAGGGAGGGTGCTGAGATGCAGGGAGGGAGCTGAGATGCAGGGAGGGAGCTGAGATGCAGGGAGGGAGCTGAGATGCAGGGAGGGAGCTGAGCCTAGGGAGGGAGCTGAGGTACAGGGAGGGAGCTGAGGTGCAGGGAGGGAGCTGAGCCCAGGGAGGGAGCTGAGCCCAGGGAGGGAGCTGAGACCAGGGAGGGAGCTGAGATGCAGGGAGGGAGCTGAGATGCAGTGGGTTGAGGACCGAGTCCAACTCCAGCCTCAGGGAGGCTTGCTCTCTCCTTGCTGAGCTCCTGCCTGCTCTTCCTGTTGGTGAAAGTGGGCAGGCTCTTCCCTGAGACTGTGTGGAGCCTTAGTGCTGGAGAGACTATCCCACACCCACAGCCTCTGCTCGGCAAGCCTGGGAGCGGGAAGGTTGTGCCTCCATCTGACAGGAAGTAGCCCATGACACCCAAGAAGCCGGTTTCGAAGTCCCTCTGGGGTGAGCACGAGACCCATACCGAGTGTGGACCTGCAGGAGTTCTCGGTGTCTGTAAGACCTTTCCATTAAAAAATAAAATAAAACTTAGGCCAAGCTGTCTTGAATGAGTTCAAACTCTTGACACTAATGATTAGTTAGTTAGTTAGTCCTCACCTGAGGATACTTTTTCTATTGATTTTTAGAGAGTGGAAGGGAGGGAGTGGGGGAGACACACACACACACACACACACACACCCCAATTGGGTGATGGTATCAAACCTGCAATGCAGGTCCATGCCATTGACCAGGCATGAAACCCACTGCCCTTCGGTATGGGGACTGATGCTCCAACCACCAAGTGCACTGGCCAGGGCTTGACACTGGTCTGTAAGTTACATTTGGGCATTTAAACGCCAACCACTTCTCTTTCCTTCCTCCTGGAGACTCACCTGTGCAACATGAACCATCCCAGAAACCTCCACTGCACCGGGAGGTGGGACGAGGTGCAAGAACACGGGCCGGGGGGCCGGGAGTCCTGCAGGAGCCACTCCTGATGCAGCCAAAAGGCCACAAGTATGATGGAAAGTACCGCTGAGGGGGAGAGTACAGCCGAGGGGGAGAGTACAGCCGAGGGGGAGAGCACAGCCGAGGAGGAGAGTACAGCAGAGGAGGAGAGCACAGCCGAGGGGGAGAGTACAGCCGAGGGGGAGAGCACTGCCGAGGGGGAGAGCACAGCCGAGGAGGAGAGTAACAGCCGAGGAGGAGAGCACTGCCGAGGGGGAGAGTACAGCCGAGGAGGAGAGCACAGCTGAGGGGGAGAGTACAGCCGAGAGGGAGAGTACAGCCGAGGGGGAGAGCACTGCCGAGGGGGAGAGTACAGCCGAGGGGGAGAGCACAGCCGAGGAGGAGAGTACAGCCGAGGAGGAGAGCACTGCCGAGGGGGAGAGCACAGCCGAGGAGGAGAGTACAGCCGAGGAGGAGAGCACTGCCGAGGGGGAGAGCACAGGCCGAGGAGGAGAGTACCAGCCGAGGAGGAGAGTACAGCCGAGGGGGAGAGCACTGCCGAGGGGGAGAGTACAGCCGAGGGAGAGAGTACAGCCGAGGGGGAGAGTACAGCCGAGAGGGAGAGCACAGCTGAGGGGGAGAGTACAGCCGAGGGGAGAGTACAGCCGAGGGGGAGAGCACAGCGAGGGGGAGAGTACAGCCGAGGGGGAGAGCACAGCCGCGGGGGAGAGCACAGCCGTGGGGGAGAGCACAGCCGGGGGGGAGAGCACAGCCGAGGGGGAGAGCACAGCCGAGGGGGAGAGTACAGCCGAGGGGGAGAGTACAGCTGAGGGGGAGAGCACAGCTGAGGGGGAGAGCACAGCCGAGGGGGAGAGCACACCTGAGGGGGAGAGCACACCTGAATGGGAGAGCACAGCGGAGGGGGAGAGTACAGCGGAGGGGGAGAACACAGCCGAGGGGGAGAGCACAGCCGAGGGGGAGAGTACAGCCGAGGGGGAGAGCACTGCCGAGGGGAGAGTACAGCCGAGGGGAGAGTACAGCCGAGGGGGAGAGCACAGCCGACGGGGAGAGTACAGCCTAGGGGGAGAGCACTGCCTAGGGAGAGTACAAGCCGAGGGGAGA